TGTCCAGTTCTGCATAAGTGCTCGCTCAGAAGTTTGCAACCCTACAGACTATAGCCCGCCAGGCTCCTCTGTCCATGGGATTTTTCTGGCAAGAATACTGGAGTGGGTTGCCCCGTGTTCAGTTCTGGTCAACGTTAAATGTGAAATATCTACCTCTAGCACCATCTGGGGAAGCTGGCACTAAGTAGCTAAATATACAGTCTGGAGATTAGGGTAGACGTTTTGGTAATGAATCCTCACGTATGAGCATTCTCACATATTCATATATGAATAGTTGGCTGAAGCAACAAGAAATATGGGCCTCCCTATTAGGAATATAAAGACTGTGAGGAATGAAGAGGAAAAAAAAGAAACTTTAAAAAAAGTATTGATAAGTCATGGAAGTTAAGAAAACCAGGAGAGTCACATACCAGAGATTTCTAGAATGGGGTATAGATTGGTATAAAAGTCCCTGAGAGATCAGATAAATACTGATGGTGTGCACAATTTGGAAACCAAAAGGCCTCTGGGTGACTTAAGAACAGTTTTGGTGGAGCAATGAGTGCATGGTAGAAATACATTTCCCAAGAAGACTTTGGGTTCTAGTGTAGCTCTTCCACAAGCCAACTGTGACTAGCGTCAATAACTCAGTTTCTCTGGACTTTGGCTTCTTCATCTGAAATCCGGAGATGGTCACATCTAAGAGTTTTTGTATAGATTAAAAATCAAAAGATGCCTAATCCTATCAATAATAAGTGATCAAAGAAAATGTAGTGATGATTATTGCAAGGCAGAAGCTATTCTTATGTCACATTAAAAAAAAAGAAACGTGTAGCGTTTTATTTAAGCTCAATTTCAAAACAGCAGTGAAAGGCAACTGAAGGAGAGGAAGTGGAAATAAGAGGTCTGAGAACACAGCTAAGCTTTTCATGGTGACTGTCATGTTACTAAGCATAGTATCCTTAATATGCTTATAATCTTCCCCAAATACATTATTCACTCCCATGCTTTCTTCAGTAAAGTATTATAGATAACCATTTACCTAGATCAAAAGTGGTTGTCCGTTTTTGGACAGCCCAACACCATCATTATGAACGAAAGCCTGTGATACCTTCTAGACCTAATAAGTTATACAGGGCTGCCCTTCTCAAATTGGGATGTTTGCTAATATGCTATAAATTAAACATAATATATTAATACCATCCTCAAAAATCAATTTAACTTAATGGTAAGTAATCTGAAACATTTTGGATATATTTTTTAAAAACCAAAATATTATTCATTTATGAATATTTATTGAATCTCTATTTTGTGCTGGATATTGATCCAGGCCCCTGGAGATAAAGCATTAGGAAAATAAGAAAAAAAATAACTGAATTCATGGAACTTGTATTCTAATAGATGAAGATGGGTTATAAGCATTTACTCTACAGTACATTGAGCTCTGTTAAGTCGCTATAGCCATGTCCGACTTTTTTGTGACCCCATGGACTGTAGCCCACCAGGCTCCTCTGTCCGTGGGATATTCCAGGCAAGGATACTGGAGTGGATTGCCATTTCCTTCTCCAGGGGATCTTCTCAACTCAGGGATAGAACCCAGGTCTCTTATGTCTCCTGCATTAGCAGGTGGGTCCTTTACCACTAGCGCCACTGGGAAGTCTATATATGATGCCAAATGAAAAGGAAAAAAAATAAAATAACTGAGAAGGGGTTTTATTTGTAAATAGCGTACTCAGAGTAGGCTTCAATAAGGTGCCATGGGATTAAAGGTTTAAGGGAATGAGAAAGCTAGCCACTGGGATATCTGTGGTAAATGTTTCTGGGCAAAGGAATAGAGAATGTAAGGGTCTGGAATGGGCTGACTGAGGGGACAGTAAGACTGGAGAACAGGGAGCAGGAAGGCAGAATAGAAGAGAGGGGTCATGGGGCCAGGTCCCCTAAGGTCCTACTTCATTTCTATCTTCTGAGGGAGATGAGAAGACAGGGGAGATTTTCGGAAGAGGACAGACATGCTCTATACTCATGTCTTAAAAGGACACTGGGGACTGCTGCTGAAAAGTATTGTTGTTTAATCACTGTTTAAATTATTGTTGAATAAACTATATATTAAAATGAGGGCAGAGAAGCAGGAAGAGATCAATTAAGTCAGTACATCAATAATCCAGGTGGGAGGTGCTTGTGGCTTCCATCAGAGTGGTAGCAAAGAAGACAGACTTCCCAGGATGATGGATATTTTCTGAGGTAGAAACCTCAGAAGTCACACAGAATCCTGTATGCTGCTATGAAGGGTGAAGAGTTGGCAACAAGGTTTCTGGCTTGAACAAGCTCCCTGACCTTTACAATAAGATGGAGAAGACTGTCAAAGGAGCACGTTTAGCCTGGAAGTTCAGGATTTCTTTGGACAGGGGTAAGCAAACGTCAAATGAACGTTTAGAATGCAAACAAAAGAAAAACGAAATCTTAACTTTCTGACAGGTCTCTTCAAGGATAACCCCCAGAAAGGGAAAAGGCAAATCTGAATATTCTCTGCTCTCAGCTCTTTAGGCAGAGACGTTTTTGAGGCACTTGTTCAGTTGCTAAGTCCCGTCCCACTCTTTGCGACCCCAAATAGCCCACCAGGCTCCTCTATCCTCCCTATCTCTGGGAATTTGCTCAGATTCATGTCCACTGAGTCGGTGATGCTATCCAATCATCTCTTCCTCTGCCACCCCTTCTTTTGCTTTCAATCTTTCCCAGCATCCCATCCTAAATGGCTAAAATGCTTTCTGAGGTTGCTTTTCATTCCAGGCTGTCGGTACACTTTCCCCATCAGATAACGTGTTGACAATACCGCTCCACTTTCTAGTTTCCCGGAAGCCTGAGAAACCAGCTAATTAGAATCTTGGGGGGGTTCAGAATGCTTTCCACGCGGACATCATCTTTGCTGGGTGCTGGTCCTACTTCCTGGTTCTCAGGAAAAGAGATTTCATTTCGTAAACGGGGTTCTCGGAACGCATAGCCCGGGAGTTGAGAAACTCGAGGCGAGGTCCGACAGAACCACCGAGTGACGCCTCTCTTCGTCCCACGGTCCTCCACGGGTCCCACCAATTTTCTAATCCCTAGGAACCCACCTAAGTCTTGATCCTGGAGCAGGCGCTGCTCATGCAACCTACTTCCCCTCTAACTTTTCTCACTTGGGCCGAAGAGAAGTCGATTTTCCTTCCGAGCAGTCCCTCCACAACCGTGAGGCCAGGGCGCAGACCTCGGACACTTCGCGGAGAAGGTGGCGCGCAAGTCCGGAACCCCTTACCTGTCCGGGCGCGGGGCGCACGGGCGCACAGGGCGCCGTGGGGCTGAGCCAGCGACCTCAGGACCCAGGTACTACGAAGGGCCGGGGCGTGCCCAATCCGTCAGGTCCCGCCCCCTCCCGCCATGCCCCGCCCCTCCCCGCTCCGCCCCCTTCCTCTTAGTGCTTCCTCCTGGCCGCTCCACTGCGTGAAAAATTCCAGAAAGGCGAACGGCTCTTCTCTAAGTGGGAGCCTGCCCCTTTAAATACTCTTCTTTCGGAGACTAGCTAGTTTATGGCTTCCGGGCATGCGCACGGCGAGGTGCGGAGGAAACCCTGCAGCGGGACTTGAGGTAGAGCGGGCTGAGCTTCTTGGCGCCACGTGGGCTTGTGCCGGGGGCGATGACAGCATTGGCCTTGAGACCCTGACCCTCTGTCCCCAAGAGGAGCGCGACGTGAGCTAGTATCGCGCCTTGAGTTAGGCGGGGATGGGGGAGGAGAAGACGCCCGTGGAGCCAATGGCTGTGTCGGGGGTGCTTTTGAAAGCGCCTCAAGTCTGCGCTGCAGGAGACAGTCCTGCTGGTTGGTGGCAGAAGTAGGAAGTAGGAGTGAATTAGGTGGAGCATTGGCGGTGGAAGGAACAGGAGGAGCTACTGTCCTTTTTTAACATCCTTCTAGACTCTGCCCTTAGCCACACCCCAAATTCCCAAGCCTTGGGTCAGCAAACTGCCTTCTCCGTGTCCGCCCGGCAGGCTTACCGACACATCTGTTGCACGGGAACTCAACTCTGTGGATTCCTTGCTGCCCTTCAGCACGGTTCCACTCTTACTAAGATGCTTGGTTGTAATTCCCTCATCGTTGTATTCTCAAATTGTTCTCCTATGCCACTAGCTCAGAATGTTTTCATATCTTCTTGCTACAGCTGAGCTCTTGGTCACGTCTTGTTGCTTTCGATCTCCTCTAACTGTTCAACTAGATTCATCCTGCTCAGTACTATCAGTCATCTTACTAAAACATCTTTTAGGATTGTGTTATTTTTCTGCTCAGACACCTCCAGTGGCCGTCGATTAACCACTGAATGGATTCTAAGCCCCTGACAGGGCATTAAGTGTTTTACCTAGTTCGGCACTAATCCGGCCATATTTTCCAGAACTGTGCTAGAAAACACTTTGTCCTCCTGCTCTGTATCTGGGTTGTTCAGTTTTTTCTTAACACGTTGCATAGTTTGCTCATGCCTTTGCCTCATTTCTGTCTCCTGAACTGTTTTGAAAATGTGGCCACTTCTTGCATTATGCTTTACTGATTATTCTAGCCAAAAGTGATCCCCTCTTTCTTCTTCACTCTTACTGCTCTTATTTTGTACTAGTCATTTTTATTTATTCAATAATCAGGTTTTTTTTTTTTTGGTTGATTGACCTTTTATTTTTTTATTTTTTTTTCATTTATTTTTATTAGTTGGAGGCTAATTACTTTACATCATTACAGTAGTTTTTGTCATACATTGAAATGAATTAGCCATGGATTTACATGTATTCCCCATCCCGGTCCCCCCTCCCACCTCCCTCTCCACCAGATCCCTCTGAGTCTTCCCAGTGCACCAGGCCCGAGCACTTGTTTCATGCATCCAACCTGGGCTGGTAATCTGTTTCACCCTAGATAATATACATGTTTTGATGCTGTTCTCTCGAAACATCCCACCCTCGCCTTCTCCCACAGAGTCCGAAAGTCTGTTCTGTACATCTGTGTCTTTTTTTCTGTTTTGCATATAGGGTTATCATTACCATCTTTCTAAATTCTCAATAATCAGTTTTGATTGTGTGCCTACTATGTGCTTGATTCTGTTCTAATTGTGAGATAATCAGTGAATAAGGCAGATAGGGTTCTTGCTTTCATAGAGCAAACATTCTAGTTGGGGTAGGTATATAGTAAATAGTGAAGTAAAATGATTAAATAGCAATGATATGAAGAAAATTAAATAAGATTTTATGAAAAATAGTGACTTGCTGGTTTCTTCTGATTATTGGTCAAGGAAGATCTCTTTAAGGATATTATTGAAGAGGGACTGATTTAATCAACAGGAACAGTTGGCATAAAGGAACTGAAGAAGACCAGTGTAGCTGGAGTATAGTGGATAATGGGGAAAGGGTACAGGATAAATTTGGAGAACAGAGTTCAGGATCTTAGAAGTCTTTGGAAGCCAGTGTGGGTAATTTGGATTTTATTATAAATGTGATTAAAGGGTTTAAATGGGGTTGTGATATGATTTAATTTGCCTTTTTAAATCATCATTCTGGCTACCATGTGGAAAATTGACTATGGTGGACTACTAATAGAAGCAGAGATTAGAGGCCTTCACAGTGTATAAGAATTTCTGGAATGGACGTATTAAAGTAGAGGTGATGAAGGGGCAGTAGGAGTAATCAGAGAGCCAGATGCTTAAAGGTGATGCAACTTCTGGTGATGAGAAAATCAAAGCTAAGATGGAGACAAAGTGGAAGGTTTGAGGTTGAGATTAAGGAACTGAGGGACGGTGATGTTAAATGGATCATCCATGTGGATGGTCGTGGAGGTGGTGCTGGATAGTAGGTTTTAAGCTAGGTATTAAAGACATTAGTGAGTGAAGAATTGTTCTGGGACCAGAGAGAGGGTGGCAGCAAACAGTCCAGCCTGATGGCATGAACTTCAAAGGAAATGGGATTTGAGGAGGTAGAGGAGGAAGAAGTGGTTTGGAAGGAGCAGTGGCAAACAAGGAAAATATTTACAACCTCCAGGTCCCCAGGTGGGTATGAAAGGAAAAATAGCTGTCACATAGAAGGACTACGGAAGAAGCAGCCCGAGGGAAATAGCCAGGTTTCAGTTCAGGCAAGAAACTGAGGAGTCTGTGTAGAAACTGTAGGAAATTAAGAGATGAGGAAAAATAAATATATCCTATTTATTTCCTAGGAAAGTAGACTATTAGGAAATTTCTGTGAGTGCCACGTGACAGAAAGGATGGAGTGGAAGTGGTTTTCTAAATTGGTTCAGATGAATAGAATACACTGTAGAAATAGGATGCAGGTCCAGATGATGTATTACCTGGAGAGCGTGATGAACACAAAGAATGGAGCAGTACCAGTTTCTTGGGCATTTTATCTTTCCTGAAACTCCATGTGATAGCCATGGGTTGTGGGAAGAGTGAAGGTTACTTTAAGAAGCTCTGTAAATGTGTCTTCTCTCTGATGCCAGAGAGAGATGGTTGTAATTTTCTTTCAGGTCAACTGAGAAAGTTTGTATCTGAGCTTTCATGAAGGTTTAAGGTCCAAGGTTAACATAAGCCTTCCTTGAAGCCTAATCACATTGCATGATGGTTTTATTTAATTATTTTTTTGGCCATGTGCCTCGGAATCATGCCCAGCAGATCTTAGTTCCCGGACCAGGGGTCAAGCCCGTGCCTGCTGCATTGAAAGCTTGGAGTCTTAACCACTGGACCACCATGGAAATCCTGTAGATTGTTTTTAGAACTTCATTATAGGTCAGTGTGGACTGTTTTTTTCCTGTCTTCTCCTCAGCCTTTCTCCTACCCCTATCCCTCCTTATATAAGTAGCTAGTCACAGATTCTCTGAAATTAACTGGAAATTTTAGGTTTCAGGGATGGAGTTCAGACAAATCATTGTAAAAAAAAAAGTGTATGTTCTAGTCTCTTCTTTGTTGGTCTACCAATGATATTTTAAAAGTGAACTTGAAACTAACCCATTTTAATCCCGCAATTTTAATGCCTGGAGTGGGTGAGGAGTCAAGATGCAAATCACCAGACATGCCATCTTGGTATAGGAGAGTCAAAATACACATGATATATAGAAATAAATTAGTAATGTTATTTAAGGGGACTCAGAATTGGAAGGGAGAGAGAGAAGCAGAATTAAATAAATCCTGCAAACCTATTTCTTTGTTTGTTATCCAGATTTTTTTTCTTCCTGGTAATTGATCACCTCTGTTTCTTTTGTAGGCATTGTTCAAGAATGGAAGAGGATACAGATTTCAGAATCAGATTTAGTTCTTTGTGTTTCATAAATGATCATGTTGGTTTTCATGGCACCATAAAAAGCTCACCAAGTGACTTCATTGTTATTGAGATTGATGAACAGGGAGAGTTAGTTAATAAAGCCAGTGACAAACCTGTTTATAATGTTAGTAAAGTACTACCTGAGCCAAATAGTTTAGCTAAAAAAGCAAAACTAGATCTTCAGATTTTATCTTTTGAAGAGACAAGCAATCAAGAAGTCAATACTTTGGCTGGGAGCTCCAGTGATGACCACAATTTTGTGCCTTGTTCAGAAAAGGAAGATACTGTCAGAGATAGAACTTCCAAAGGTGAAGAAGAAGATGTTGATGTATTGGGCTCCTTGTTAGATGAAAAAACTAATGAATTACTGAATCAGTTTGCCTGTGATATAAAAGAGAAGTGGGACTCTCAAACTGAGCTAATTGGACCATCTCCTGAATTCTCGTTAGGCAGAATCCTTGACAAGAACCAGAGGGCTACCTTGCATAGTGCTATTAGGCAGAAATTTCCTTTTTTAATAACTGTAGGAAAAAACAATGAAATTGTTGTAAGACCAAATCTTGAGTATAAAGAACTTTGTCACTTGGTATCAGAAGAGGAAGCATTTGAGTTTTTTAAATATTTGGATGCAAAGAAAGAAAATTCCAAATTTACCTTTAAACCTGATACAAACAAAGAACACAGGAAAGCTGTCCACCATTTTGTCAACAAAAAGTTTGGGAATCTTGTGGAAACCAAATCCTTTCCTGAACTGAGTTACAGTGCTGATAGTCCAAGTGTAGTGATAACTGTAAGGTTTCGGGTGAAAGCACACAAACACTGGAAGAGATCTCTTCATGAATGCCAGGGAAGAAAAGATATATACACAGGTAACTTAATATCACCACCATTTTCTTAGGTAAACTTAGATAAAATTGCGTGAAATCTGTGTAATTTCAAATGAATTAAATAGATATGTCCAGAGGGGTCCTTTTTGAAATGGAAACATTATATGGGTCCTTTTTGAAATGGAAGATAAGCCTTTCAAAATATACTAGTTGTAAAATATTAGCCTTATTGATGAAAGTGTGATTAACACATGTTTATAGTTAATGTAGTCACAAATGTATAAAGTTAAAGAATTACTTTGTTTAATAAATCTCACAGGGGTGAATCTTGATTTCATATTTTGAGAGTTATCTTAAATATTTGGAGAGAAGGAAAATATGTTTGCTGTACTTGGGGAAGTGAAGAGAATACCTTGTAATCTAGAACAGCGGGACTTCATAGCCGATGGAAAGAATCCTGCAGACTTTCAGGGAGTTCCTTCCTTTGACCCTGTCCATCTTTTAAAGAAGAGATTCTCGAAATTTTGCATTCATTATAATCATCAAAAGGGCTTTTGAGAGATTTCTAAGCCCTGTTATCAGCTTCTGATTTTTACTCTATGTAATACACTTTCTTGGTCTGTTTTTCACAGTTTGCAGTTCCTAGCCAGGCTCTTCCTAAACTTCTAAGATATTTTAGTGATGTCTGTCTATTTCCATAGATTTGGTATAATTTAAAATACTATTAGTTTTTTTTTCACATTATTACTAATTGATACTCAAAGTTTGGGCTCCAGGACTAGGATAGTTCTTGTAAATTATTATGGATCTCAGACAGGTTTTGCTTATGTTGTTTATGTTTATGTTTATTTTGCTTATGTTTGCTTATGTTTAACTTACTGGCAATTTAAAATGAATTTTTAAACATATGAATTTATGTTTATCGATGAAGGTGGTCAAAAGGTACACACTCCCAGTTATAAAATAAATAAGTCCTGGAATATAGTGTACAGACAGCATGATTGTTGTTTTGCCTCTAAGTCGTTTCGCACTCTGCAGTCCCTCTGGCTGTGGCCTGCTAAGTCGTGTCCGACTCTTTGGGACCCCATGGGCTGTGGCCCGCCAGACTCCTCTGTCCATGGGATTTCCCAGGCAGGAATACTGGAGTGGGTTGCCATTTCCTTCCCCAGGGGATCTTCCCGATCCAGGAATCAAACCTGTGGATTCTTTACCACTGAGCTATCAGGAAGCCTGTATAGCATGGTGACTATAGTTAATGATATTGTATATTTGAAAGTTGCTAAGAAAATAGATCTTAAAAGTTGTCATCACAAGGAAAAAAATTGTAATTATGTGTGGTGATAAATGTTGACTAGACTTATTGTGGTGGTCATTTTATAACATGTTCAAATATCAAATCATTATTGCAGATTTTTAAAACTATTCATAAATAATATATGCCCTGCATATTTTTTAAACTTGCTGTTTCCGTTTCCATGTTTTTAGAGATTCTTTGTAGAGAGATATAAAGAACATATAGATCTTTCTTTTCTTTTGTTTTAAACATGATTTCTAAAGAACAGATATTACAAGCTTTTGTTTAGCTATTTCATTTATTCAGAGATAGATAGATTTCACACCCTTCTACTTCCTGAGTCAGGCTTATGTTAAATGTTCGTTTTTCTTAGCGTGCTCTTCAGAGAGACTCGTAGCCCCTTATGATGGTTACAGGAGTTGAGCAAAGCAGAAATTATTCTGCAGAATACTTTGAATTTCCTTTCCATGATCTGAGGGAAGAGGGCAGTCCTTTGAAGTGTCTTATATGGTGCACTGAGGACTGAGATATTTTCTTGCTGTCAATGTTGGCAGGTTATATAGGCCAACAAGTTGGTGGGGGTGGGGGGTGGTGCTTGGTGGTAATTGTTACTGGGCTTGTTCCTCCTTCCACTTTTGCGATCTCATTCTCACCTTCTCATCTCATAGACATTTGAAGGATCTACCATGAGGTAACAAGCTCTGTTTCATTTACTGAGTTCCTGGCCTGGAACTCCCAGTCTATGGGGTACATAAACTTACAGAGAGAAATTATGGCATGGTGTTCAGTATCATGATGTAGATAACGACAGCTTGTGAAGACATGTAGGTTTAAGTAATCAACTCCTTGTAACATGCGTGTTTTCATCTATTCAACAAATATTTGAATACTTACTATGTGTTAGCCTGAGGGTGTAATGGTCAATAAAACAAACATGATCACTACTTTGGGAGCATTCAGCCTTGAGGACCTGGAAGGAATTTGAGGGAAAATTGCTGTGGCCCTTGGATCTTGAAGCATGAAAAGAAATGTGGCAAATAATAAATGGAGGGAGCGTGTGTTTTAGACAAAGGACCTCAATGCACACAAGTCCACAGCAGTTCATCCAAGGATTGTGATAAGTTCTCTGGGTTACAATTATAGGATATATAAGATAACCCAAGTGCAGACTGGAGGGGTGGATTAGGGCCAATATGAATGCCTAATCAGGGAATGTGGATTTTATTTTTTTTCTGTAAGCCTTTAGTGAACCAACTAGCATTTTAAAAATGAGAGCTGAAATCTGCGAGGTTTGTATTTTACTGATTCTATTTTGATTAAAAAATACTCATCTAAATTAATGATTTGATTCACTATAATGATCTGTCAGTTTGCTAAGAATGTTTATGATGTATTTAGCTGCCTTTTTTTGTAATTGAGGATTTTTTGTTTGTTTCAGCTTTTACCCTACGAAAAGAAAATCTAGAAATGTTTGAAGCAGTTGGTTTTTTAGCTGTCAAACTTGGTGTGATCCCTTCGGATTTTAGTTATGCAGGACTTAAAGACAAGAAAGCCATCACTTATCAAGCGATGGTGGTTAGAAAAGTGACACCAAAGAGGTAATAAGATGTTTAAAGGATAGAATTTTATTTTCTTATTGCATCAAATAAATAAATACTAGATTAAAAACTGAGAATAATGCTGGGAGCATATTAACCTCACTATCAATAGTAATTGATCATTGGCTTATTGATCAGCATATTCTGCATTAATAGTATAGTTATCTTCTAAATAGACTTTTATTATTGTAAAGTAATACATGTTTATTGTAGAAGATTTAGAAAAATATAAAAATATATTAAATGTCACTAAAATTTCTCTTACATAGAAATAATCACAAAAACATTTTGGTCTGTTTCAGACATTTTTCAGAGACTGATATATGCAGATGCTACAGAGGCCTTTTTTATATATGTGAAAATCATACTGTATATTTAATTTGTATTTTACTTATAAAAATAAAATAGTATTTTTAATGAAAATTTATGTCATGAAATATTTCAAAGTCATGTTCATTATATGGACTAATTTGTTTAACTTTCCTCTATTTTTGGATATAGAAATTTGTTCCAATTTTTCACTGTAAATACTATTATTATTAATTTTATTAGACTTAAATCTGTGCCTTGTGGATGCTTTCCCTAAGGTAAAGTTCAAAAAAGTTGAATCATTGGACTAAAATTCTGCCTAACTTGACATATTAAAAATATATTAATCTTTAGTCATCAGATATTTAAGTACTATTTTCTGGTAGATATTTTTAAGTTCTTATATGAGAGACTGAAAAATGTTTATGGTTTTGTCTTTGTGGTCAAGACGTGCACTGTACTAAGAAGGAATGACTTTAGATGTTGAAAGGTATTTAGATGTTAAAAACTGTTTTTTAACCACCAAAGACAAAATATTTTATTAGTTTCTAGGAGGAAAGAGTAGTTTGATTTGGCTTATGAGTATGGAATTTTAATTACCCTTTACCAACAGTAAGATTTTAGCAGACGCAGAAAATCTGAAGATATTTTGGAGGGCAAGTAAGCTAAACAGTCTGCCTGATAAAGCAGATGGTTCCTTTAAGGACTACAGAAAATATAGATGTAAAGAAAAATTTACATCAGTTCTTATAGTATCTTAAAAGTTAGGATAAGACAGTTGGAATCTAATATTGGTGAAGAACTGAAAATTTGAGCAAAGGAGTGTTCAGAGCAGAATTTTAGGAAAGTCCTCTGGCGCTAGTGGTTTTTTGGTAACATTGGAAAAAAACTGAGGAGGAAAAGAGCAAAGTCTAAGGACAGAAGAGCAAAGAACAGCTAAGAGGTTCTATCACTTGAACTAAGGAGAAGTCAGAAGGCCACAGAGAGTGATAGCATTAGGAATAAGTGCTCTAGTTCTTAGAATAACTCTGTTAATATAATCCTATGATAAAGGGTTTTTAGTGCACATTTGTTGAAATAAATGAAAGATGTGTTTTTGAAATAATCCCCCCAGGTTTTCAGTATTCCAGTATAAGTGGTTGTCTGCCATCTGTCATTTAAACTTTATTTTAAATTAATTTTTGACATTTTTAACATTTTGAACTTATTAATAATTTTTAACAGTTTAAACACAAACCATTTTTTAAATGTAAGAGTTAACTGAATCTAAATGATAAATGATTTATCATTTATAGGTTGAAAAATATTGAAAAAGAAGTTGAAAAGAAAAGAATGAATGTGTTTAACATTCGGTCTGTAGAGGATTCCCTTAGACTTGGTCAGCTCAAAGGAAATCACTTTGATATTGTCATCAGAAATTTAAAAAATCAAATAAATGATTCTGCAAACCTGAGAGAGAGAATTTTGGAGGCAATTGAAAATGTTAAGGTAAGAAAACTGCAGTGTAGAGTATTTTAGGAAAATCTTTATTTACATTGAGATATGAAGGGAAATTTTTTCTTTTGTATATTTTCTTTTTATGTGTATGTATAATTATTTTTAAAAAATGATAATTGGGTCCATTTTACTTATTTTTAATTTTTCTTCTTAGTATATATCTTTGTATTGAAAAAAAAGAAAACTTTAGTGTAATTAAAATATTGTATAGACTCCCCCAGTTGGAAGGGTAAAATCTATCTGTTTAAAAGGACAGATTGTTTTTTTTTTAAGCATCTGCCATTTAGAGTAGTATTACAGGCAAAGAGATTAATATGGGGGGAGACTTTGTTCAGCATTTCTTTTCAGAAATCTTTGGTAAATAGTTTTTATATTACTTTTCAGAATGTTTATTCTTTTCAATCTAATTTTGAATTTTGTTTCAATGTATGCCAATGGCAGATCATATACATTTTATTATTCATACAGTAAAAAAATTACTTACTGTAAGTTTTAAACTTATATTTGCTGGGCATCTAAATGTGCACATATAGCCATAGCCTTCATTCTGATCATATAGACTGTGGGCCAACAAACTTTTTTCTTTGAAGGGCCAGAAAAGACATGTTCGTGTTTTGTAGACAAATGGTCTCTGTTGCCGCTCCTCTAGTGCTGTTGTGTGGAAGCATCCATGAACTATACATAAATGAATGAGCATGGCCGTCTTCCAATAAAACTTTATATACAAAAACAGTGGTTACAGGGCCAGATTTGATCTGTGGGCCAGTTAAATAGCTTGCCAACTCCTGATCTGGACCAGAAATTCTCAACCTAGGGTGTTTTTAAAAAATTTCAATAATCTGTTTTTTTCTCCCAGACTAATTGAATAAGAAAATTTGGGGATGTAGCTTAGGCATTAGCATTTTGAAAAATCTCCCTAAGTGATTCTACTCCACAACTAACATTGAGAAACTCTGCTCCAAGTTTCTGACCACAAAGACCTTTTCATACAATTTTATGCCTCTCCAACAGGAAAACAAACAGAAACCAGATTTTAATCACTATTATACCTAACATCAGGGAAATATTTTCCCCAAAGATATTTAGAATCCTCATATAGTTATTTTTTCCTTTTCTCTAGACCTACCTAAGATTCTTTTTTTTTTTTTCTCTTTTCCCCCTGTTAAACTATTAGAAAGATGTCTCTTATAAAAGGGAGTGGGGCTTTCTGAACTCTGATGTCATTTATTGCCCATCTTTCATTTGGTACCTATCCATATACATTTTTAAATCTCCATAGGAATAATCTTAGATTTAGCCAACTGTCCTTTAGTTCTCATGATGAGGGGAAGCGAGCTGAGAAGTCCGGAAAATAAGAAATCTTTGGAGTTTTATTTTAAAGGGTTATAACTCAGATTGCTATAAACATTTTATTGTAATCAACCCTGAATAACTTGGCAGGGGTACTTAAAACTCTTCTGGTGTTTTTAGGATATTGTCTAATGTTATTTTTCCAAATTTGAAATAGTTTCAAGTATTTAACTGTGAGACTTAATACAGGGGGTACTTATTCTATCTGCAGTTGATCTTAGTGGCATGAGGTCAGGATGCAATTCCTTGTGTAGCATGCTGATTACAGATTATCTTTTGTTTGCATCTTTTGTTGAACAGTCCTGAAGTTGGTGCTCGGTAATCATCATTGAATGAATATATTAATATATTCCCCCCATAGAGTGAGTGTAGAGAGCTCTTTTGTCTTTCAGGAAACCATATGGGCCTGTTTGCTTTGTGAGGACATGTTTAACCACCCACCATTGTCCTCAATGGTTGCAGTAGTAAATACCAATTTTCTGTTCCTACTGAAGTGATGCTGTGCCATTGTCTTGGCCCAGACTTTCAGAAACTGAGATAATCAAAAAACCAACCATTATACACAAGAAAGCCAGGACTTGCTGGGTTTGAAAATAAATCTGCTTCATATTTGAAGCATCTGCAGACAGCCGAATCCCTGAAATCAGAAGGAGCTTCAGGGATCAAAACAGATGCAGTACTAGGTAACCAATTCATCCCAGTTTTCCTGGAACTTTCCTGATTTTAGCACGAAGAGTCCCACATGCCAGAAAATGCCTCAGTAATGGGAATGAAAAGTCACATATTTTTTAAGTTTTTTCACTTATTTTCTATTTTGCAATTATTTATTTTTTTCCTTTGTATTCTTTAACCACATAGTGTTTCTCAGCCCACTTGGTATCCATGTGTGTATTGCCAATTACAGGATTCTTTTATTACAATAAAGACAAAGACTTGGTTACATATTTTGACACAATAATTGTATTTATTTATTTTAGTTTGATACTGTAACAAAGAACCATAGGCAAGGTGATTTTTAAACAAGAGAAACATACTTAGCATAATTCTGGAGGCTAGAAGCCTGAGATCAGGATGCCTGCCTGGTCTTCCTATTGTATTCACATGTAGTAGAAAGAGAGTCCGCCTGCTCCACCACCTTTTCTTATAAAGAGTTCTTATTCTATTCATGAAGCCGCTATCCTCATGATCTAATTATCTCTTCAAGTCCCCACCTCCAGATACCATCACACTGGAGGTTAGGGTTTCAACATGTGACTTTTGGGAGGACACAGACATGAGTCTATAGTAATATATTTTTAGTTAACTGATTTTTTGTGTGTTTATAGAATAAAGGGTTTGTGAATTACTATGGACCACAGAGATTTGGGATGGGAAGGAAAGTTCACACAGACCAAATTGGATTGGCTTTGCTGAAGAGTGAAACGGTATGGATTCTGAAAAGATATGAACTTACCTGTTTTGTCAGATGTACTTACTACATGAGCCAGCTCATTGCTTTCTTAACCCAGTATATAAATGCATGTATACCCCCATATATATGTACTGTACTACATTACATCATGTTTATTGAGCAGCCACTATGTTCATGATAGCACTTTTTAGCAAAGCAGATGCTGAATAATATTTGTTTCAATGAATGAATAGTGTAAAAGAAGAATGAATTGGAGGCTAGATTGAATGCCCTGTTTTAAGATCCTTTCCTACTCTAAGATGCATACTTAGAAATAAGTTGTAGTACTGGAGACAGTGATAAAATACAGAAACTAGTAGTTATCTTTTCTTTAAAAGGAACATCTTTTAATCTGTTTATGTTTTAAAAGAAAATATTAAAGTTGGGAATTTTAAAAACTTTTATTTACATTTATTTTTTTTTTAATTTATTTTTAAGACCAAAGACAAAGAGTTCTGAAGCTTGAGAACGCAAATGAAATTAGTGACTTGCCACTTGCCTATGCTTGTTCTCTCACCTTTTTTTGTTGTGTGTGTTGGATAAGCCTGAGTTTTATGTCATCACTCAATACTGTGTTCTTACTTCTATGATAGAGGCAAAAAATGACAGAATAAGATCTATCAAGTTGTGTCAACCACTTTTCCAGTCCATAAGATTTTAAATCTGTGTATTAGGTTGCCTTGCTCTGGAGGTTAATTCTAAATTGTTTAGCTTATGAATGCTTAAAGATAGAATCGCCATGTCAAATATCATGTTAAATGCCTGTTCTATCAAGATGTACCTTTTTTTTTTTTTAAAGTAAGTAATTTGTTATTTTCATCTAACACACATTTGCTTGTTTGGTCTTTAAAGGTGAAGGCTGTAAAATTGTTTTTTACACCAGAAGATTTGGATGATCCTGTAAATAGAGCAAAGAAATATTTTCTTCAGACTGGTACTTTAGAAGTTTCTTTACCTCATATATAGCTAGGCAGATATACAAGTATTATATCATCAGGATAGCATTCATTACAACATAAATGTGATAATAAGTAGACTGTAGTATATTGTATATTTAAGCATTTTTATTATGTGCCCTAGGTACTTCATTTTTATGGGACTTTTGTATAGCTCTTGCTTTGGGGTTGGGTGAGGGGAAAGATGCTTTATGAGTTTTTCTTGGCCTAAATTCTCAAAAAAGATAGAGTTCCCAATTCTAAACTGGCATGGATAGAAGTATAATTCCCTGCACTCAGGAGACTGAAAAATAAACTAAATAAAAGTATATTTGTTACATCTGGTACTTTGTGCATTGTTTTTGATCTAGTCTCCATTTAGCCCTGATTGCTAATTTTGAAAACTTTAGCTCAGTATATGTAGAATACTTAATGAGAAGCACTAAAAAAATTTGTTATGAGTGTGGTTCTAGAGTCAGTCTACATGGGTTTAATAATCAACTTTAGTACTTCCCAGCATATAGTCTCATGCAAGTGATTTAGCCTCATTGTTTTAGTTTCTTCATCTGCAAATTGAAGCTAATAATGATACCTAAAAGACTGTTAATATTTAAATAAAATAATAGATTTAATGCTCTTAAAATAGTGCCTGGCTTATTCTGAATACTGAATAAATATTATGTGTATGTAAGTAGTAACAGCAACCATAAGATTTTAGATTCATTAAATATATGATCAACATATATGTGCATATTAAATTTCATTTGCATAGAAATAAAGGACATCAGTTGCTAATATCTCCATTATTTTTAATTATGTACATATTATATATATATAATGATTAATAGGTGAAAAATATTTTTATGCCACACCCAAATCTGTAAACCATATGAGCATTTCACATTGTTATGAATAATCTAAGTAATACTAAAACAAAGTTCAAAATTACATCTATTGTGGGTCCTGAGAAAATAATTTCCTTATGGCAGTGATTGTTAAACTTTAGTGTGCAAGAAACCTGGTGCATTTGTTAAAACGCTTACTCCAAGGCCCTACCTGAATAAGCAGCTTTGCCATGGAGTCCAGTAATCTAATTTTAAAAAGCATGCTGAATAGTAGAATGACTGAATGGTATACTTGAAGGATCCAGATGTCAACCCTTTCTTATTCAAAAAATTCTGTAAAATGTCCGTAATAGCTCTTTAAAATCTCAGCTCAGGGACTTATATAATGTTTTTTAAAAAAGTGTTCTAAATAACTGCAAATTAGTTCATCTCCATCTTGAAGTCGGAGTTACTAATGTGCTGTTTTTAAAGCAGGGAAAGTGAATGAACTAAGAGTAATGATTTTTAACAAACAAAAAACCTCTTCAAATGTAGCTCTGGTTTATAGTTGGTGCTGAGCCTCATCTTCATATTCAGGTTCCCAGGATAGCTCAATTCATTTAGAGAGTGTGGTAAAGCTCTTAATAACTGGCCTTGAATAAAAAGAACTGATTGATCCCTTTGTTTCAGAGGATGCTAAAGGCACACTTTCACTGATGCCCGAATTCAAAGTTCGGGAGAGAGCACTGCTAGAGTCACTGCACCGCTTTGGCGTGACAGAGGAGGGCTGCATCCAGGCGTGGTTCTCCTTCCCCCATTCTATGCGCATATTCTACGTTCACGCATACAGCAGCAAGATCTGGAATGAGGCAGTATCTTACAGACTTGCAACTTATGGCTCAAGAGTTGTGGAGGGTGACTTGGTCTGTTTGGATGAAGATGCTGACAATGAGCAATTACCAAGTAGTAAAGTAAGTATCATTTCATCAAGAGTAGTTATGTACCAGGAGCACTTATTTTCAGAAACTCTTATTTTAGAAAAAATTTAAAACTAAACATGCTTTTTTAAAAAAAAACTTGTATTTGCTCATCGGCTTCTACTCTGCTGACAGCTGACACTTAACATATCATTAAATAGAAGTATAAAAAGGGTCAGTGTTATGAAGTGAGAGTTATAAAGATAGTAAGCCTTCCTTAAGAGAACACGTTCTTTAGAAAACTACACAAGCAATTCTTGAATCAGGCTTCCCAAGTGGCTCATTGGTAAAAGCATCTGCCTGCCAGTGCAGGAGATGCAGTAGACACAGGTTCCATGCCCAGGTTGGGAAGATCCCCTGGAGGAAGAAACGGCAGCCCACTCCAGTATTCTTGCCTGGAGAATCGCATGGACAGAGGAGCCTGGTGGGCTACAGAAGGTGGGGTTGCAAAGAGTCAGATAAGACTGAGCAACTGAGCACCCACCCAACGCATGGAACAGGCTCCTTAAAAATCAAAATCAAAACAGTGCAGATGGAGATGTCATTCCTGCCACCACTTTATTGTGATTTCCTCTGCCACTGTCAGAAAATCAATCTCTTTTGGCATATTTCCTTCTAGACCATTTTCTATGCTTTCCCATAAATATCCACAGAAAGTGGATTTTTTATTGTTTGTTAACAATGAAAAAAGCATACAGAATTTTGAGACTTGAAAGTCAAACTATGAGAAGGAAAAAGAATGAAATTTCTATAATAATGCTATATAGGATATGAAATGTCATTTCTTTTATATAAGTGTGGTTTTACAATTTGTTTTTTTCTCTCTTAACAGTATCTTAGAGACATTTATATTAATGAAATATAATTTGTCTTATAAAATTGATCCTTCCATTTCCTCCGTGGTATTTTGGATATTTTGGATATTGGTATTTCCAACTAGTATTTTTATGGTATTTTAATATCTGTGGATTTGACCTAAATAATGAAATTGAATTCTGTAAATCACATAAAGAAATTCATTTTATAGCATTGTAATGCCAAAAGAGGAGACTATTCATCATTATCTTAATTCAATCTCAAAAATATATTTTAAAAATTAATGAAGGGATTTGCGTAGTGCTTTTGTATATAACATAAAATCATTGAACTTTAGGGGAGAAAAATATTTTAGACACTTCTTTTCTAATTCCCATTTCATAGAAATGAAAATTGAGACCCAGGCTGGAGAGGAGACAGGTTAAGTGGTGTAGGTAGCAGAATTCAGAAGACCTAGTTGTCTCATTCTTAGCCCAGCTTGGTCTCTACTAGAGAAATCATGGGTATAGAAAAGTGTCAGCATGCGGAGATAGGGCATGGTCCTATTTTTCAAAAATGGAGAAAAAATAGACTGAATTTACCATAAAGGATGATTTATCTAAATTAACCGCAGAGTTTTAGATGTATAAGTTAGGATTTTTTGTTGTTGTTTGTTTGTTTCAAGTGATAGAAGCCTACCTTAAACTAACTTAAGGAAAGCAGACAAGAATTTCTTGGCCCTCATAACTGAAAGTCCATGATTGATTCAGGTACAGCTGTATCAAGGGGCTAAAACAGTGTCCTAAATCATCCATCTCATTTTCTTCATCTTTCAGGTCTGCTTTCCTCTCTGTTAGATCCATTCTGTTTCTTCTTCAGAAAAGAAGTCCTTTATTTCCTAACAGTTTCAGTCAAAGCCATGGAATTGAGTCTCAGAATGGCTTAGTTTGTATTCCACGTCCCCAGACCAGTTACTGTGGACTGCAGTGTGTGATTGGCAAAGCCTCTGTTCCAAGAACTCCTTCCTGCACCCATCCCACCCAAACCACAATCAAGAACTGGGAGGGAAGCTCCCAGGAAATTGCAGATACACTATCAGAAAAGGAGTCAAGGCTGAGTGATGAGTGAGCCAGAGCAAAGAGGTCTGCTTTACTATGCTATTAAATGAAAGGCTTGTGAATATTTAGATAAGAAAGTGAGGGACTTCCCTGGCGATCCAGGGTCTAAGACTCTGTGCTCCCAAGGCAGGGAGGCTGGGTTCCATCCCTGGTCATGGAATTAGATTCCACATACCGCAACTAGGAGTTCTCATGCCGCAATAAAGATCCTGCTCGCTGCAACAAGATCGAAGATCTTGGCGTGCCATAAGTAAGACCCGGCACAGTCAAACAATAAAATCTAAGAAAAATTAAGAGAAAAAAAAAGTGATCACTAGGAGCTTCATTAAGAATGGTCATTTAACTGAGACACAGATTCTGAAACTGCATAAAAAGAAATCTAGCAGCAGCTTAGGTTTTATTTTACCTCATATAAATGGAAGAAGAGCTATGTCTATTGATTCCATTTTTAATACTTTTCAGAAAACATGTCCTTTTAATTTCTTGGCAACACATTATTTAGTAAGTCAGCCATTTCTAATTCAGATTTTCAGAAGTTCAAGTTTACTTTGACAAGATATAGCAATAATCTATATGTCTCATAATGCATGTGTCTCATAAGACTTTGTTCCAGATAACATTTGCAAGGATATTTTTGTGATCAGGATTTTGTCTGCTTTTCCTTCAGGAGATATAGGAGAAAAGAAAACATTTTCTCTTTCACATTTTACAGAGTTCCTTTTATTAGCAGCAAAAGATATCTATATTTTTTAAATCAATTATTTATACTTTATTAATTAGCACTGAGAAAAGAAAAGGCAAGAATTGGAGGCTCCGGACATAAAATATGGAAAATATGGAAAAGGAAAAGACAAATTAATATTTGTAGAATATTTCATGTTGCGCATCTACCTTAAAAATTGTAGGAAACTATAGGAAACTAACCTGAGTCCCTTTTTGATAGAATTACTAGGCCTACTGCTGCTGCTGCTGCTAAGTCGCCTCAGTCGTGTCCGACTCTGTGCAACCCCATCGACGGCAGCCCACCAGGCTCCCCCGTCCCTAGGATTGTCCAGGCAAGAACACTGGAGTGGGTTGCCATTTCCTTCTCCAGTGCATGAAAGTGAAAAGTGAAAGTGAAGTTGCTCAGTCTTGTCTGACTCTTAGCGGCCCCGTGGACTGCAGCCTACCAGGCTCCTCCATCCATGGGATTTTCCAGGCAACAGTACTAGGCCTACAGATGTAGCTTAATTTCAGGTGACTTGGCAGATTCTCATAATTTTTTTGTGAGTAAGATGGAGAAATGTGAATTGCACAATGGGAAAATCAGGTGAATTCATCTTTGTGGAGCTGCCATGTGACAAAAGAATGGTTAATTCATCAGTTGATATCAGCATGGAGGGAGCTCTTTAAAGAGAGCTTCAGTGTTTTGTACTTGAAACTGTTCAGTATTTTCACAAATTGCTTAAATTGTAGTATTTTAGGAATGGTTATGACTTTGTGAAAGGCAAAGAGCTGGAATTGATGATGCAAGAGAGATCATAGCCCCATGTATTGTGGTCAGATCACATCTAGAGTATTATGTCCATTTCTGAATGCAGCAGTTAAAATGGGTTCTTAACATGTAAACAAACAAATAAACCCAAAATGAAAAACCAAAATGGAGGGATATTATTGATCTGAGTAGGGAGAATTGGGAAAGCAAGCAAGTTTAGAGAAGATCTAGGCATTATATGGTGGATGCTTTAGGGAAATGAGACTGTGTTAATCCTCATGGAGTGATGGTAGCTGCCTTTATACTTTTGAGCTTTCATGTCTCAGAGAAATCAAAATTATTTATTCTGCATCCTAGAGCAACATTTCTCAAACTTATCATTCACTTCTTTTTTTTCTCACGTACGTGTGACAATTATTACTAGTCTATGAAACACATTTTCAGAAACACTAGTTCTCATAGTGATACCTGTTGGGGACAGAGGTTGGAGAGCGATTTCATGGAAACAGATTTTTTATTCAGTGTAACAAAAAAAAAATACTTCGTGATTTAGAAAAAGATGATTGGTAACTGAGGTGAAGGTGTTGCTTCAGAGTGATAAGCTGCCCCAGTCTGTTTCCCCTGCAGTTATCGGGTTAAAGCAAGCAGAATCATTCTCATTTTTAAGTAGTCTGCTCCTATAGAAACAAGCTGTGAAAAGATCTTATTTGAGTATGAGTATATTCAGTTAAGAAGTTGTATTATACATAACAGAGTTAGGAAAAGTTGAGGGAATTTGGAACATTTGAGAATCATCTGTATTTTCATCATGTTTTTAAAAAAATAGGTTCATCTAGTAACCGAAGAAGAGGAATCAGCTAACACATATGCAATACATCAGGTAAACTTGCTTAAAAATTAGTATCATTTAGATTTAAATGTAGACATTGCGCTGAAAAGACAGTATACTAATCGTTTCTCCTTCCCACCTCCTTTTTTCTACCACTTTTTATTCAGATATACTTTATATATAAAATAAAATACACTTCTTAGTTTATAGTTCTATGAGTTTTGATAAATGTAGACAATCATATGACTACCACAAGAATCAAGATAAAGAAATTTCTTGTCTCCCTCAAACTTCCTGTGCCCCTTTGTGTCACCTCTCACCCCTGCCCCAGCCCCAACTCAGCTATTTTGTGTCCTATAGTTTTGCCTTTGAAAGAAGGCCATTGAAATGGATTCATAAAATATATGTGATTGTTTGTGTCTGGCTTCTTCCAATGAGCATAATGAATTTGAAATTTCCATGTTGTGTGTAATTGAGTTTTTTACCTTGTGCCTTTTCCTGACTACATGTTGGTTCCAGTTAAAGGAAAAATATCTAGAAGTCATCAGCAAAGGAGGAAACCTCCACAAAATATAGTTTACTCATGAGCAACTGAGAAAATAGAAATTAATCTTGCAGCTTCTTGTGTGCATTCATGTTTTTATTAATAAGTAAGCAAGGAAAATGTAAAATTGTCAAGTTTTATGTGATGGAGCAGTATGGATTATTCTTTTTGTTCCAGAAAAAATATGCTTTTAGCATTGTATGACTGCACAAAGATTAAATCTGTTGGGTAATTAGATGTACCTCAACTTCTTGTTCCATTTCTTATACCTTAACAGCAATTTGTCAAATAATATCTGACTTGAGTTGGTTACCTTGTTAACTAAGAATCCTTCTTGATTTCAGTTAGCTCTTCTTTTTCCCTGGCAGCATTAAAAAGAATCAAAATAGTGTACTATCCAGTAGCCTGTTTTAGACCGATTATAATGTTTGTATTCTGAGTGTGTTTTTACATAGTCAAGTCCCAGTCATAGAAGTAAATTTAAAATATGATTGCATGTGGACTTCTCTGGCAGTCCCGTGTTCAAGACTCCATACTTCCACTGCAGGGAGTGCGTGTTCAATCCTTTGTTAAGGAAGTAAGATCCCATGTGCTGTGCAGGGTGGCCAAAAAAAGAGAGAAATGATCATATGTTTTTCTGAAGGCTGTTTCATGTACCTTTTTTTCCCCTTCCCTTGCATAGGTGGTTCTTCCAGTGCTTGGATACAATATTCAGTACCCGAAAAACAAATTAGGGCAGTGGTACCAGGAAGTACTCAGCAGAGATGGACTACAGACATGTAAATTTAAAATACCTACCCTGAAACTGAATGTTCCAGGGTGCTATAGGAAGATTTTGAAACATCCCTGTAATCTCTCATACCAGCTGATGGAAGACCATGGTACTGATGTCAAGAAGGAAGGTTCCCACGTTGATGAAGCAACTTTATCCCTTTTGATCTCTTTTGATCTTGATGCTTCGTGTTATGCTACAGTTTGTCTGAGGGAAATAATGAAGCATGACTTTTAAAACTGATACCCTTGATATAGTCATGTGTGTGCCACTTTTTAAAGGAAAGTGAAAAGGGAGCTAAAACTTCTTGAGTGTCTACCATGTTCTAGGAGCTTTATCATTGTTATCTCCTTTAATTACACACCATCCCAATGAAGTAGGAATTTGTTACTCACATTGAAGAGGACATATAGCTAGTAAGTGGCAAGATCTGAACTTAAGACTCCAAAGCCTTTGTTTTTTTCTATTATCTAATGTCTCGATGACCTTTATTCTGTGCTATAAAAGTTAAAATCTTTCTGGACTATTAGGAGCATACTGCAAGATAACATTAAAGAAGGTAACATTAAAGAAAAACTTTTGGAGTAATGTTTATATCCCCAGACTCCTTGCTTAAAATGTAGATTAAGTTGTAATGAAAACATATGGTTGGAGAGAAAGATGAAGCATTTTGTTAATTAGTGCCATTCTTTTCTATTTTTGAAAGTATTGATCAGAACAGTACTTCAGGAAAATNTTTTAAAAATTAATTATTTATTTTAATTGGAGGCTAATTACTTTATAATATTGTGATGGTTTTTGCCATACATTGATATGAATCAACCATGGGTGCACATGAGTCCCCCATTCTGAACACCCCTCCCACCTCCCTCCCTATCCCCTCCCTCTGGGTTGTCCCAATGCCCTGGCTTTGAGTGCCCTGTTTCATGCAATGAACTTGCACTGGTCATCTGTTTCACATATGGTAATATACATGTTTCAATGCTATTCTCTCAAATCATCCCACCCTCGCCTTCTCCCACAGAGTCCAAAAGTCTGTTCTTTACATCTGTGTCTCTCTCTCTGTCTCGCATATAGGGTCATCATCACCATCTTTCTAAATTCCATATATATACGTTAATATACTGTAGTTGTGTTTCTCTTTCTGGCTTACCTCACTCTGTGTAATAGGATCCAGTTTCATCCACCTCATTAGGACTGACTCCAGTGCACTCTTTTTTATAGCTGAGTAATATTCCATGTGTATATGTACCACAGCTTTCTTATCCATTCATCTGCCGATGGACATCTAGGTTGATTCCATGTCCTGGCTATTGTAAATAGTGCTGCAATGAACATTGGGGTACTGTGTCTTTTTCAATTCTAAATATTTGTTAGTTTAACTATTCCATGTGACAGATCTCTTTAACCACTTTATATCAGTTGAATTTGGGAGGAAATGGAATATACTGATTGGAAAAATCTGAGCATTCTTTTATTGCTTGTAGCATTACATAATGATTTAAATTTAAAATACTGTAGAGTATTATATGTTAGTAATGTGGTACTTTTATATATTTAAGTCAGTGAAACCATTTTGGACATATTACCATAAGGAAATAAAATTCAAAAGAAGAAAAAAACTATATGCAATGTGAATTTGCTTAGTGTAACATTTTTATATATAGAAAGAATCAGTTTGAAAGTCCAGCATTAGCTAACCTAAAGTAAAATGAGATGGAACAGTTTGATTGCAAAACATGTAGGTATTAAAAATGAAGGTTTTATGTATGTGAGAAAATATTGCCCCTCAAAAGTATATGTAAAACACAAATGGAGTGTATACACTAAATGCAGCTTTTATACAGGAGGGGCACTTCAGAATAGTGATTAAAAGCGTGGATACTGGAGACAAACTCCTTTGGTTTGAAGCTTGGCTCTGCCACTTACAGCAGTGGGGCCTTACGAGTGTGTGTTTCAGTTTCAACTTCTATAAAAACAGGGATGGTAATAAACATACCTCTTAGGATTATTGTGATGATCTTCTGAGTTAATGTATGTAAAGCAGCTTAGAAAAGTGCCTAGCACGTAGTTGCTGTTAAATAAAATGTCCACAAATCCAAGTTTGGAAGGGAACAGAAAGAAATGAAAAGGTCATTCTGTTAAGATCATAGAATGTTTGGGATTTTTTTAATACTAGAAGGTTCCTGTTTTGTCTTTATATATTTTAATAATTAATAAATTCAGGACACAAAAATTGCAGATTGTTGTACTGTGGATTTTCAAAATTACCTTTATTACCTAATGTTCATTGAAAATGAAATGATGCTGTATTAAGTAGTAAAAAAAATTAGAAATAATGTTTTAACTTTTATATGATAAATTATATCTTGTAAATATAATCTGAAAGTGAATTACTAAATAATTAAATCCCAATTTTCTTTTAAACATTGGGTAGCAATTAGAAAATATGAAAGCATTAAAAGTGTACCATCATTGACAGTATTTTCTTTGCCTCTAGGTGGCACTATAATTTTAGCTATCTATTTAGCACTTTGGCCCTGTGTAAAGAAAGGATCACTAAACTGACTTCAAGTTACCATAAAATGTATTCAGATAATGTTCATGTGGAAAATTATTTAATATACTAATAATATTTGCCATGTTAATTTCTTTTTTTTTTTCCCCCCAGTAAGGACTTGAATAGACTGGACCAAATGAAGAGTAGTCACATAGGGTTTTGCAGTTTTTCTGGAGCATTTTTTTAGGCTCTCAGAAGAATTTTCAGATTCGCTTTAATTTTCAATGTAATGTTTGAAACAGCAATAGTGACTCAGGCTTACTAAGGTAAAACGAATTTATGTCTTTTATTAAAATAAAAACACGGGTTTTTTTAAAGTTATAATAAACAGTCATATGCAACTTTGATCCAAGTAACATTTGCTGAGTGTTGTGACAGCCACTTCCACTCCTCTTGTTGTAATCTGTGTTTCCACCCTGTAGGTGGGTAGTGTTTTCCCTGTTTTTGCAAATGAGAAAATACCTGAGTGGTTTACTGACCTGTTCAAGTTCAAGCAAGATGGTATTTGATTGAACTTTATTATGCTTCTAGATCAGTACTGCCATCATCCCCTTAATATTTGCCTTCTGAAAATGAGTTTTTGGTTAATAATAATTTCTATTTCTACCAACTTAATATTTCTTGATATTGATTGATAGACATATTGGGGCATGTCTTGAGAGAAAGAAAATTACTTTTGAGATTCTGAGAACAAAATTAAAAGTAATAGGAGATCATTTGCTGCTGCTAAGTCGCTTCAGTCTTGTCCGACCCTGTGCGACCCCAGAGACCATTTAGGGAACTTCCAAATCATTTTGGAGTGTTTTCTAGAATATTTTGGGACTTGTATCTGAATGATAGGCAACACCATTACAGGCTATTGAAAGTTTCTTTGGATGATACCTGGTACAATATTACATTTCATTGAAAAAGTACAGTGAGAAAATGGTTTTGTTTTCTCAGTACTCTTCCAACCTTTTCATCAACCGTTCTGTTTAAGACAAGGAGAAAGCTGACTGTTTCACATTTACATCTCACTTGCTGGGTTTACCTTTTTAACAGAGCAAGTGCAGGCCCTAGGCCCAGGAGTACCACCAGGCCATAATATCTAATGAGAGTTTCATAATACTGCTGTGTTTTATTGACTTTATTTTTCTAGGTACATTTTTTTTATGGCAAATAATATTGGTTTTCCACTTTTTTGATGTTTCTTTGAAAAATAAGTTTAATTTTAAAAAGAGGAAATCAATGTAAAGGTAATAAGCAACTACTAGTATAGATATAGCAGTAATTAAAACAGCAATACATGAATGATTGGAGTTTGGGAAATAGAGTACCTGAACTCAGAGAGGGCCTGTCACTGTGTTAGTGTGGTACCTTTAGTAACCCACTGAATTTCTCTGTTGTGATGTCAGGTGTGAAGTAATCATTTCCCAGTCCAGGACAATATAGCATCAAACAAAATAATGAAAAAGACACAAATTCAATATATTATAAGCACAAGTACTAATTAAATATTGTATCTTAAAATTGTACTGATAGGGATTTTCTTTTAGAAAACCTTATGAAACACCAAGCACAGTGTCTAGCACCTAGCAAATTCTTAATAAGTATAACTAGTGTTATTTTAGTTAATATTACATTACTGGGCTCTCTGTTGAAAGTTTTATAATTGAATGGCTAATGAATTTCCCTTGAGATCTGATCTGACTCTGTCTTAGCATGAAGTGATTATAATTCAACACACTTTTAGATTTATTTATTTTTTATAAGTAGAAAGAATTACATATTTCTAAATCTGGGAATTCAGCAGTTCATTCACATTTAGATCTTTAAGAACTATCTGGGTCAGTGTTCTTCAATATTTTCCACCTGAGAACTACCCTTAAGAGACAAAGAAGAAATGAAGCTGCATATAACAATGGAAAACTTTCTTGCATTAATATTGGGATAGGAGAAGAGGTCAGAGGGAGATATGGAGAGGAAGGAAAATAGGACTTGTCATATTTTTTCTTTATTTACTTCTGAAATTGAAGAATACTTAAAGAATACTGAAATTTCAGCAAGTGTAAGGTGAGGAAATTGAGGGATTATGATTGCATTTTCCAGAATGATCTGGTTGCTCATGCCAACGTATCACTAGAGAGACAGAAATTTATGCATTGTACATTTTCACGATACTAATGGTGGTTAATGTAAATAGTTTATTAATTAATTTATCTGTTTAATTATTTATTTGACCATGCCATATGGCTTGTGGGAATCTTAGTTCCTGGGTTGGGGGTCAAGCCCAGGCCCTCGGCAGTGAGATCGTGAAATCCCAACTACTGGACTGCCAGGGAATTCCCAATACAAATAGTTTAAAATGTAGTGCCTGTGCTGTAGATTTTGCTTTCAGATTCAGAGAGATTCTTAAGGATAGCTTGATGTCTCATGCTACTATTTTAATTTATTTTCCTAAGCCCTTCTCCCTTTGCCTATTTTTGATGGGCCACAAAACGTGCCCCTAAATTCACAGCACTCTGTAAGATGCAATGGGGAAAGACAAATCAGTAATATCCCTGCCTTTCAGGGATGTCCTTGACACTATCATTTGATTTGAAATGCCATCTGCAAAAAGAGTATGCAGACCACTAGATGGCGAAGAGAGAAACAAGCCGTGTCTGCATATCACTTCCGGCTCACTGTAGGACCAATAACAGGCTTCTCGACCTCTCAGCACCACATTCTGAATCCTTAAATGATACTTATATTAGCATTTCTGAGCATTGTGAGATCCTCTCTTAAAATATGCTTTGAACTATTCAGTCTAGATGCTGCTTTCTAGAAAGCTACTAGTTTAAAGAATGGAAAATGGTGTTAATGGAGTTAATCTTGTGTAATTTCAGTGTGGGCTATCAGGAATACCTTTAAGTAAAGAAAATGACTCTAATCTTCTTAAGCAATTCATTTTCTCAGCAACTGGGAGGCAGGAGCTAATTTACTCTGCCTGTGTACACAGACCCTATCTTACTAAAGGAAAATTTTACTTATGGAGAGAAGTCACGATACCCATGAAATTATTTATATTTAGACATTAGAAAATAGGGCAAAATAAAAGAAACATTAAATTGCCTTTCCTTTATCAGTTTCCTTACTAAATACTCAACTCAATTACTGATATTTTCTGTTACAAAGGAGAAATTGAATCGTGGA